GGAGAGGAGAGGAGAGGAGAGGAGAGGAGAGGAGAGGAGAGGTGAGGAGAGGAGAGGAGAGGAGAGGAGAGGAGAGGAGAGGAGAGGAGAGGAGAGGAGAGGAGAGGAGAGGAGAGGAGGGAAGGAAGGATGACTAAATCAAGGGAAGGTTTATCTCCTAGGTGAATTTAAGCAAACAAAAAGTAACAGCTGTACAAAAAAGCTTCTTGTTTCTGTGAACAAAGACACAACCAGGCAGATTTTTAGACCTTCACACATAGCAAGAGCATTTCCCCTCCAAAAGGCCACATACCACCAAGCAGGTTGTATATTCCACAAATACGCCATGAAGGAGACTGATAACCATGCAAAGAGTTGCAAGCAAGCAAAACCGCCGTGTCCTTTGGCCCCACATGTCTGAATAACCCCTATTCATAACTTTAGAAACAGGGTTTATAAGAAGGGAGGGTGGGCTAAGCTTGACAGAGCAACATGTCCAGCAAGGGCTCTCCATGTATTTAGCTCATATCACCTTTGTCTTCCCATTATACCAGAGGCACAGCCTTATACAAGAGTTCCAGCAGAATCACCCTCCCCTCAGTTACAGGGTAATGAAAGCATTGCACTGTCTGGAGTCTGTCCTGCAAGATTTCTTGAAATGAAGTAACAACAAGCAATTTCTCCTTGTGCTTCATCTTTTAAGTACAGGTATAGTGAAAAGTCACCAATCACTGACTTAGCAAACCAAGCAACCATAAAATGTGGCCACAAGCAATGTTTTCTTTAAGACTGGCAGAAATCACTGAATAAACTTGAAAAATGAGACTAAAACTGAACAGCAGAAATGGGGCTCACCCAGGATGCACCTGGGATACACCAACTGCAGAAGGAACTGTCTCAGAAAGGGCTGCTCAGACTGGTTGCAAACAGGAGCTGCAGGGCTCCTCCACCATTTAACATTAGATTACGACAAGTGTTTTCGGTGCGGGGCTGATTTCCTCTAAACAATGCAATTTTACGTGTCACCAAAACATTTCACATGTTCTGGCTGAAGGTAAGTTCTGACTGAAAAACAATGGTGGAAAAAGTGTAGAAATCTTCCATCTAAGAAAAAGTTGCTTTGATTTTGTGTTCTGAAATAGTGTATTCCCTTTGAACTTGACCTGAATTTAAAAAATGAAGGAAAACAGTAAAAATAGAGTTAGATCTGAAAATTTAGGGGAAAAAAAAAAAAAAAAAAAAAAGCTTTGGGATAAGACTCTCTTCATTTAGCTGAAAAAGAACCCTCCTCTCCAAATGTCTGTTTCGAGTTGAACTGATGTTAGATATTCGTGCTTTTTCTTTCAGTTTCACTACAAGAAGGAGAATCAGAAACTTAGTACTGAAAGTCCCAAGTTTTCTTCCTTTTTTTCAACTTTTATTTTAAAGAGAGAATGCATCCAAGCCTTGTGTTTAAATCAAAGATGGGTCTGAGTGCAGAACTTCAGCCCGTCATCTTCCCAGATGAGAACAACCCACATGAGAAATAGGGGGACCAGAAGGAAGAGCATATGAGGGTAGCAAGAAAACACACGGGTGACTGGAAACAGCTGTCATGGCAAAAGGGCAGGTGAAAGGATGAAAGAGTTGGAATATGAGACTAATAGCCTCAAAGTGGGCTTTTTCATAAAATGAGGATATATTTTATGTAACAGTTGAATATTGCAGTTTACTGGCAGCTATTTTCCACCAGAAAATGCAAGAGGGAATGGAGTGAAAAGTGATAAATCAGATTCAGCCTTGTTTCTACAGTACCTGACACCTCCTCCGAGACCTGAACCCCTCCAACGTGTATATGAATGTCCACTTTAATTCCACATTAAGGGCTGTGCACGGGAGACCAGGTTGTAGGCAGCTGTGTGTTCCAAGAAAAGCTCTGTGAAACTATTTTTTTTGTGACAAACAGGGAGGCAACTCATTATGAAACCAGCCAGAAACTGTGCTTTAGCAGCTGGGCAGCAGGGGCCATCAGCAACTCATTTAATGCAAGATCTCATTTCAAGAAAACACAAAAGGGGATTCAATTAGACAAACCATCAGGAAACACCATCTTCTTTCCTATGCTTCTAGAACAAGGTATCTACTGGCTTTCATGATGTTGAGATCCAGCTCTTTGCACCACCCAGTCCTAAGGATACATATGAACTGCTCCCTCCCGTGACCCAGTGTACCTGTGTGCCTTGCAGACCTGTTTTACGTCATCAGCAACAATGCAGCCTGTGCTCATACACATGGAATGAATCATTTTCTGTTTAATCCTGCTAAGTATTTGCAAGTCTTACACTTGGGAGAGCCCCAAACGATTCACACACTTCCCAATAAGTTTGCTTTGCTGCCTCAACAAAAAGGCAGAAGGCCTTTTTTACCACCCGAAGTGCAACAAGCTGCATTACAAATTCTTCTTGCAACAAGAAGGGAGTTTCCTCCCAACAAGAAGGGAGTTAATACTGAGATTCGCAAATCCCTAGCTCCCACAGGGAATTTCATAGAATCATTTGAGTTGGAAGGGACCTTTAAAGGTCATTTAATCCAACTCTCCTGCACTGAACAGGGACACCTACAGCTAGATCAGGTTGCTCAGAGCCCTATCCAGCCTTACCTAGGATGTTTACATGGATGGGGCATCCACCAGCTCTCAGGGCAACATGCTGCACTGCTCACCACATTTATTATAAAAAATTTTTCCTTATATCCTGTCAAAATCTCCCCTCTTTTAGTTTGACACTGTTTCTCCTTGTCCTGTCACAACAGATCCTGTTAAAGAATCTGTCCCCTTCTCTCTTATTGCCCTGCTTCAGATATCAAAAAGCCGCTCTTGGGTCTCCCTGGAACCTTGTCTTCTACAGGCTGAACAGCCCCAGCTTTCTCAGCCTGTCCACGTAGGGAAGGTGTTCCAGCCCTTGGACCATTTTTGTGGCCCTCCTCTGAACATGTTCCGAAAGGCTGATTTTCTTAACTCGCAGCCAACGAACACATGCAACAAGTACCTGCGTGGTAAACATCAGCAAAAACACTCATTTTCTCCCTATTCTGACTGCCTCATCAACTGGGACCACAAATATTTACAGCAGGAATTCCCTCCCACCAGCTGTTCATCATCACCCGAGGTCCTAAATCTCAACACACCAAGGGCAGGCCGCCTCCCCACCAGCACACCTTCCACTTACCAGCCACCACCTGTAGTTGTCCTCTGGGATCAAGGCATTTTGTGAGGTCAGGAAAGGTTGCATAGTTGAGTTAAACCTCTGGTCGAACCAGAGGGAATGTCCCAGCTCGGAAATACAGGTGCTACAGCTACACGGCCTCCTAGGAAATTTGATGAGTTTTCGGACTTGCTCAGAAAACTGAGTGATGATGTATCTAGGATCCCAAGTGGTCATGGTCACCTGCTGCTTGTAGTTCAGCAGGAACGACGTCACTGTGATGAGCACGAAGGCGAATGTGAAGACCTTCACGTTCCTTTTCCTGACAGTGACCATCTTGGTGCTGGTGGAGCACGACGTGGGGGGAAAGCTAAGGCAACACAGACAGGCTGCTGCTAGTCCTCTCGGGGCTGCTCACCACCTGGGGCCTAGGCTATACCTACAATTGCAGTACCTCTGTCCATAGGGGAAAAAGATTCGTTTTTCCCAGAATGGCTTAAAAAAAAGGCAGAGCTGGGTATTTCTTTTCCCTATTCACGGTGCTTGGAAATCTCTCCCACTATGGCTTCAACAAAGACAGATCCTTATCCTTTCACATTCCAGGTCTTCTGTGCAGGACCCAAACTGTAAAAAGCAGACCGTGTTCTTTCTTTCCTTGTAGACAGTTCACCAAGGATCAGATCATTAGGGGATGTATATTCCAGCTGAGAAACATACTTTGATGTCCATTTAAGCCATATAGAGCAGTTCGCAGCCTGGAGACACACACATAGAAAAAGAGAAAAACAAATGTCAGTTTCCATGCTTTTCACTGCCCATCCCAAAACTTGAGCCCTCAACAAAGCACCAGCTATGACTTCAGCTGCCCTAAATGCATACCAAGGAGTTTCAGGCTGAAATTTCCAAAAGGGTAGAACATCGACCTGTGGACGTTGAGCCCCTTTATATTGAGTCAGCCACAGCTCTCTGGCCCTGTTAGAATTACAGGTCAGTCATTTGAATAGCAATGAAACACCTTATTCCCTTAGGCTGACCTTGATAGCCACCAGATAAGCCAAGTATGCATAACATGATCCAGCTGAACAAAAAGCGCCAGACAGAGGAGGGAAGGACAGGAAGGAATAAGAGTTCGTTCCTTTCTCTTTCTCCCCCAACAGGCTTCATTTCCTAAGCATTCTGGCTGGATTTGTAGTTCAGAGAAAGCTAAGCAAGAATAGCTCATATATTCTGGGACAGACGGAGGAAGTTAAAGGATAAATGGCCTTTGTTTTGCATGGATTATTGTTATTTTCCGTCTTACTGCCAAGGTAGGCTAGGTACAGCCAGCTTTTGATTTCTGAGGCTCCCCTGAGATCCCAGCCAGGCAGAGAGGCAGGGAGTAGGGGTTGCTGAACAGCCCAGATGGGGGATTTAAACAAGCACCAAGTCTTTAAAAGCTGAATAATGGATCCTTCCTCCCACAACACCACTGTTTCATGGGAAGAAGATGTCTTGTGGCTTTTTAAAATTTAGATCTTTGCAAAAAAAAAAAAAAAGGCCTCTGAAGTGTCATCGCTTAATCAGCATTCTCTTAACTAAAAGAAAAAAAAAAAAAAGGAAAAACATTGGAGAAGAGTCTGCATTAGAATACGGGCAGTTTGTGAAAAAGCAAAAGCCCAGCAAACAAAGTCTTGTGGACTTAGCTTCAGGCATCCAGCCAGCAAAGAAAGAGCAAAACAGCAACTGTTATCTGTCAGAAATTCCCATATTAAACTAATCCTTGTAGGCTCCCTTCCATTTCACCCCCTCTCACCCCCCCCACACTCCTTCACAAAAAGGAAAGAGGTTGCTGCCTCTTCACTTGGGGATCTGCAGGGATACCCTAAAGGCCAAACTGTTTTTCCAAAGGGCTGGACATAGATACAGCACAGTTTTTCAGAGGTGTTGTTTAAATATTTACCGAGTTCTGTAAAGCCAAAGCTGAAAGCAGGAGCTTCGATCATGGTTGTGAACCCCTGCTCTGCTCCAAGTTTCTCCTCCGTGATGGGCAGTGCGTGCCACCTAGTTAGTTGCTGCTTGCCAAATGCCCTGAGATTTATTTGCTGCCTGGACCAAACAAATGCAACCAAGGCTGACAAGCAGGTCAACCTGGATAACGAAAGGCTTTATTAACCCAGGCTGCTCAGGCAGTGAATTACACTGCAGAGACCAATCCTGTGTGCCTGTTTCTAAAATGAATATTTTGAAGGGACCTGTGGTGAGCTTTGGTGCTAACCAGAGACCTCCCTGGGTACAGCTTGGGATTCACATTCCAAAAGGCACTGGGGATGAGGTCACCATGCCTTGGAGAGTAGGAATGGGATTTTAACAGCCCTGTCCACACCAGTTGGTCTCCATGCCAGAGAGCGGTCCCAAATCTGTTTGCTTTACTGGTATGGATGCAGTTGCTAGTCTAAACAAAAACACAGCCCCCAACCTCCCCAGGAAGTGCCAGCTCCCAGAAACAAACTGATTCTCCATTTATGGGCCGGATAATTCAAAAGCTGCAATGTTGGCTGGCTGAACTCCTCCTGCTGTTAATGTTGAGCCAAATCACTGTTTGTCAACACAGTTGCTGCTCTTCAGTTACTTTTAAGTGGAAGAGGGAGGGGACCTTCTTGGAAAAGCCCATAAAATGGGGTATTGTTCAGAAAAGAACACAATTGCAGCCTCAAAAACAAACACCCATTTCACAACGTTTTTTTTTAACTCATCTATGGTTAAACTTATATTTAGAATTAAAAAAAAATAAAATGCTGTATTTATGCAGTGAACTGCAGTGACAAACTGTAACCATACCAGCCGTTATAGCACGGGGTGAAGGTGAGAAAAGAGCAGAACTCCCACGGCCCTTCTCCAGCGTGGAAACGCACACCGCACACTCTATTTTAATTCTGACTATTTCCGTTTACTTAGGAATGCTCGTGTTTCCTATGGGCACTCAGAGTAGGAAAATATATATATAAATATATCCTGACAGAAAGGCTCTCGGGACTATAAATATGATTTAGGGCCTGAGGAAAAGGCATGCTGAAATGAATAGAAAAAGTTTTCATTGGCTTTGCTGTGACTTGGATGAGGCCCATTTTTTTCTGTTCTTAACACAAATTAGATCGAACCCGGAGATCAGGATTTTCTTTCTTCCTTGCACTAAGGCTTCTACTGCATCTGAGACCACGCACCGTGCAAGAAGAGTGGGGCAGTGCCGAAGTAGCAGCCAGCCCTATGTTAGCTGCGGCCCTATGTTAGCTGCTGATGTGAGACCTGGCCCTGGGCTAAGTGCCTGCAACCCCCACTCTAGAGGAGTTGTTTCATCTCCCTATACTATTTGTACTGGTCAATTTAACTTATTGCAGAGAAGCAACGTGCAACCAGACCCGGTTTTATCAACACAACTCACTGTGACCTTGCCATTCACATATCTGCAAACAGGTCGTTTTGGCATTGGACCAAGGAACAATTCCTGAGAACTTAAGATGTGGAGTTTAAGTGCCCAGCCCTGATCAGCTATGATGCACCAACAGTTTAATGGGGTTGAACTTCACTGTGCCTGTGCCTACCTTTATCTGTTATCAGCAGGTTAAGCTACCTTAAGCTACTGGGTCTTATCTGCAGTCTGGATTTCTCCTGCTTCCTTCCTACTTCCTCCTGCTTCCTATGTAAACCCTTGTTCTCATGTAAAATACCCTTGGACATGCTAAGATAACTTAATTCTGCAGCGAACTTGCAATACACAGTGGCATACAATGCAGAGAAAATGCAAAATTGCATTTCTCAGGCAAGATCAAAAGTGAGGCAGGTTCCTTCGTGCTGGGTTCTAAGTGCAGGAGTGGTTCCAGTGCGACTCCATGGTCATTAAGGAAGAGCAGAGCTTAGTCCTCTAAGTTGTATGAACTGAAATAAAATATCCTGGGACTAATCCACTGCAATTAACTGTGTTCATTATTTTCTTGCATTCTGGAAAGAAGGAAAATCAATACATTTGTTTTCCTCCTGGGGTATATCTTATTTGTATTGCAAAATTGGAAGAAAGACTTTGGTCCTAGCCAACTTGGAATGTGGATAAAATCAAATCTATGTGATAGACTAATAAAAGAAACTCCCAGGAACTTCAGGAAATACTTTTTTTTTTAATAAATCCACCTTGTAATGCAGTGTATTCTCATTGCATTTGTCAGGTAATATGAAGAAAGCTCACCCGTACGCCACAAAGGAGCAGAGAGAGACATGGACAGGTGGGAAAGTCCAAACAGTACGCTGTCTGGCTGCTTCCTGGCTCATCTTAGGGAGCCATCAACCCATCAGAGCCCATTTCCTCAAGCACAGGGGCACGAGGGCAGATGAAAATATGAAATAATGACTCCGAGAAAGATCTACCCAGTCTGAGTCCGTGGCTATCCCATGACAGCCTCAGCCCCACTGTCCAGGTGTGAAACTCACGCAGATAAGCCAACACCAAAGCACTTTCTGCCTGCCTGGTGGCACAGAGCACAGTATGGGATGCAAGGGAAAAGCATCGAGGGATAGTAGAGCCTGATCTGGTGCTTAATCTAGTGATTGGCAACCCTGCCCACGCCAGGCGGGTGGGAACTAGATGATCTTTGAGGTCCCTTTCAACCCAAGCCATTCAATGATTCTATAATCCAGGCATGGTGCTGCCCCAGCCTCACCTTCTAGTTGCTGGATCCGGACCAACTGTCCCCTAACAACACAGAGTCAGAACAGCAGTGTGAATTACTCTGTCATTTCAAATCAAGTTGGCCACACACCACAGGTAATTTCGTTGGAAATACAAATCTTCAGAAAATATCATTCAAGAATGAATGACAGAAAATAATCTGAGCTATGCAAGTGGCATTTTGTTGAGGTCAAACCTGTGTGCTTAATGTTGCTTACAATAATATCACTTCTTCCTGACTTTTGTTTCTACAATTGCAAATTCCTTTTCAAAATTATTCTGAATTATTTTAGAAATGAAAGAAATGCGTAGAAATATTCAAGTGTGTGTTAAAGACAGTATTTCATAGTGGTAATGGGTTGACAGTTGGATTTAATGATCTTGGAGGCCTTTTCCAACCTTAATGATTCTGTGAAAATTTGCAGAATGCTTCTTTTCTTGATTTTTTTCTTAGTCTTAGACAAACAACCAAAAAAGCATAATGAAAATAATCATCTCCCCAAGTAAATGGCTTTTTATGGTTGAGTTTGACCACTTCCTAATGCCTGTTTGCTAGCAGAAAAGTACTAACTGCCAGCACATCAGTGACATCTTTGCCAGCCTTCATTTGATGCTGACAGTTCAGGATCCAGCCTCCTGGTCCACATTAAAACCTAGGTGTAAAACAAACTTCTCTGGTTTGATGTCATCAGCATTTTCCATATGCAGCACATTTGTCAGAACAGCACAAAAGCGACAAGAACCAACATCCCTGTATAAAGACATTTCCAGTTTTCCATGCAAACTCTGAACAGCTCAAAGGTTCGGAGGTGCTTTGCATTCACAATACATTGTTATCAAGCCTTTTGGCAACACAAGCTGTATTTCCTCAAGCATGCTTCCTGTTGTTTTGGGACTTTTTCCCATTCATACTCCTCCTGAGTACCTATGTTTCCAACCTTGGGTCTCAGAGCTCCGTCCTTGGACACACCACGAGGATGCAAAATGAAATCTGTAGAAATGAAGGTCCCAAATGTTTTGGAAGATATCACCACAGGGCAGCAGAAAGCTTGTCCCTGG